ATATCATCTGTAGGCTAATACTGTAACTTTACAAAATACCTTCTTTAAGAGGGTGACTCTAGATTGGTATGTTTTTTCTCTTCTCATACAGGTTCTATGTGTTGTGGTCTTCTTTATGCTTGTTTGCATGGAATTATGTACCTACATAATGCAGCTGGAGCTGGGTCTCATAAACTTCCTGGAATTCCAGCTCACTTCAATCAAGCATTTAATTCATCAAATTAAGATAACTAAATTGTGCTTTTGCTTTGCAGAATACTAAAAACGAAATAGCTTCTATATTAATAAAAACATTTGAAATGATTTTGGAAATGTTAAATTACCTGTGAGTGTGCAAACTGGATTTTAAGTTCAATTCTAGATGGTCTCTTCCATTTCTTCGGTGGCTCCTAGAACACGGGTTCAATTAAAGCTGCCTGATGGTGAAAAATCAACATATTCCAAATATGCAGGCGAAGCTTTCCTTGGTAGGGCAAGAGAATTGCTCTGCTTCTTGGCCTCAGCCATTGCTTTGTTTTCACTTTTTTTCCCCCAGGTTCACACTTGAGACACATTTTAGTGCTTGTGTGACCACCACCTATTTCCTGTTATTGTGTTTCTTATTATAGGCTGCCCTCCGTGGAACTCTTATCTTTCCATCATCTCCTAGTCCTTTTAGTTGAGATGAATTTGCCAGAGGCAGGGAAAGGCTGAATGGACTGTTCATATCTGAAAGGGGACCACACCATAGTCTATTAAAATAGAAGATGACTATCCAACGCGCTTACCACTTGTGTTGTGGTTTTATTGTTGTTTGAACTGCAAGCCAGAATGGAACTTTTTTAATTTCAAAGATTTTTATTATTTTTTTCTTCTAAGTCCTTTTTTTTTTTTTAATCTAAGTTTGGACCATAATGTGTCGAGAGATCTCTTTTGCATTATTTTTGGCTAAAACCAGAAACAAATTGTGTTGAAAAATATTATGAGAACTCCTCTCCTTCTAAGATTTCTAGCCCATCATAGTAGACTCCAGAGGTTTGGATTATTCAGATAAACCTTAGAAAAACATCCACTGTTTTAGATTATCTGCTTAACCAAATCCCAACCCTGAACTGCTAGAGGTTTTCTTATCTAGAATGAACTCGCTGTATATTACGAGACTGACTTGAAAGAGCGGCCAATAAGCTACTATTTATATATGAAGGAAACGTAAATGCCCCTGGTTACGCTTTTAATAACATGGCTAAGCGAAAGTCATGTTCATGTACATTTCTAGGGCCAATACACATTTAGCGAGATCCCTGTCTCTTACACAATTAAAATGTGAAATATATGACTGAATTAACCTGATTATTCCATAATAACAAAAAATTGTTATTTTTATCAAACTCTAGTCATTTTGATATTAATTATTAAAAAAACTTACCTAGTGAAAACTTGGATTCTTAAGTTTGGAGGAACAAGCAACTTTTAAAATTTCTTAGTTTATGAACAATGGCAGCAATGAATTCAATAAACACTTTCTGAGAATCCACTCCATTTTGGGTGTTACAACTGGCATTGAGGATAATAGGCCAAAAAGACAATTTTGCTGCCACAAAGAATTCTGTCTAATCTGAGAGACAGTCAAATGAACACACATTTCAATGAAAATGTCCTGTGAGCTTTAACACAGTTGTGGAGAAGGCTTTGTGGGAACACAGAGATGGGCACATCTAAGGGGCAGGTGACACCTTCAGTTAAACTACACAGTGCTTGCAAGATGTGCACTAGATCCCGAAGGTGAAGTATGAACTTTCTCCATAGTGGGAGGGTCAAAATGTGGAGACAATGAATTTTAGGAACTATATCTTCTGCCAGATGATGTTAGAAAACCAGATGCTGTCATTTTGTATATCTTAACATTATCTTGTACTTACGTTATTCTGTATGTTATATACACTCTTAGGACCTGAGTTTTTCATGAGCAAGATTGGGAAAGTGATAGGTTTTTTTTGTTTTGAGGAAGATTAGCCCTGAGCTAACTACTGCCAATCCTCCTCTTTTTGCTGAGGAAGACCAGCCCTGAGCTAACATCCATGCCCATCCTCCTGCACTTTATACGTGGGATGCCTACCACAGCATGGCTTTTGCCAAGCGATGCCATGTCCACACCTGGGATCTGAACCTGAGAACCCTGAGCCACCGAAGTGGAATGTGCACACTTACCCACTGCGCCACCAGGCCACCCCTGTGATAGGATTTTTTAAAGACTGAGTTCGTTAATACACATAAAGCACTTAGAACAGTGCCCAGAATATAGCAATCTAATATATGTTAACTATTATTAGCTATTATTTTCATGTTTGTCCATTCTCACGGATAATGCCACATAACAAAAGGCAGGGTGGTTGATCAATTCATTCATTATTCCAAATATTTATTAAGCACTTACCATGTGCCAGGCATTGGGCATTCAAAAGTGAAAAGATCAAGTATCTGCTCTCATGGAACTTAAAATTCAAATAAATCATCAAACAAACAATATAAATTCAGTGATCAATCAGCCCTGGATGAGCATGGCAATGCTTGAGAACGGAGAGGACTTTCACATACTGTCATCGTTGAGGCCTTCCTGGAAAAAGTGATAGCTTGAATGTCAAAATGAAGCCCATCTTGTAAAGACCCGAGGTAGGAATAAGCTTGGCATGTTCTAGAAATAGCCAAAGACCATTGGATTCAGAATAGAGGGAACGGCAGGATGAGAAACAGGAGCTGAGGCTAGAGAAACAGGCAGAGGCCAGATCATGTACAACGAGCGAGGGATGGTCAGAAACTCGAATTTTGTTCCAAGTGTAATGGAAAGTCTCTTCAGAATAAGGCGCAATCAGCCAGTCTTTCAAAAACTCCTCCTCCACCTCCCTCTGCCAACAAGCACTCTGCTAAGAGTGACTCACCTGAAGTGTCCATGGGTCCTTCATGCGCTTCCATTCCCCTTCAAAAGGTAAAGCCATCCTGTTATCTAGAAACCTTGGAGGAATGTATCTTTATTCTTCCTTCTAAACCTAGTCTGCCATTTTACTTTGATCAAATCATTTGAGTATGCTTCCTCCCATTTATCTCTAATACCACAGCCTTTTCCAACAACAAGATGGGTAAAACTCATCCTGGTCTCAGGCACTGAATGAGGCTCCATGGTTCAAGAGTGAAAAAGACAATTCTCACTCCTAAGAAGCTCATGGCCAAGATGGGTAAAGAGGCCTCAAGAGATAGAGTGGTGAGTGTAGTGATTGGGATAAGTGCAGAGAGTGCTGGGGAGCTTGTGGGAGGACCACATTCCCCGGGCACACTCTTTGGGGCTTTCCAAAGGAAGGGATGGGTGAGAGTTATCAAGCAAAGAGAATGCATGTGAGAAAGTGGGAAGGCAGAGGAGTTTTTCCAGCAGAGTGAACAATCTTGAGAAAGAATCCAGAGGCCAGGGAACACAATGTTTTCCTGAGAAAGAAAGTAGTTCAGTGTGACTTGAGATGGGACCAACCTCCTTAATTTAGCTCAAATTCTTCTGTCACTTCTACTGCTTCAAACTTCTCTTGATCTTTCTTTCTCCAGGATCCATGCTTCTATCATTGGCCACTACTGCCATTATTGTCAACCTACTCTTTAATAGCTAGGTGGCTTTTGGCAAGATATTGACTCTGGATATTACTCTCCCCACATTTAAAGTGGGGGTACAAATTTATACGTCAAGGGCCAGCCCCTGGTGGAGTGGTTAAGTTCACGCACTCTGCTTTGGCAGCGCAAGGTTTCACTCGTTCGGAACCTAGCCGCAGACCTAGTACCACTCATCAAGCCATGCTCAGGGAGCATCCCACACAGCACAACCAGAAGGACTTACAACTAGAATATCCAACGATGTACTGGTGGAGTTTGTGGGGAAGAAGGAGGAGGAGGAGGAGAAGGAGGAGGAGGAATAAACCGAGAAGATTGGCAACGACGTTAGCTCAGGTGCCAAACCTTAAAAAAAAAAATTCATATGTCATGGTGAGATTATGAGAATTAAATCCACACGTCATGGGGTGGATTTATAATTAATCCATGGGTCATGGGGATGGATATGGCTGGCAAAGCAACTGGCATATAAAAAGTGATCAACAAACCTTAGTCTAGTTCCCTTCCTCAGTTGTTTTTGAGAGAACGTATTGGTTGCTCAAATTCCTCAAAATACAGCATTGCTTCCTATTGTATTACTTACTAAGGTATTACAATTGCTTCCTATTGTATTGCTTCCTAATGTATTACTTACACTCTTTCTATATTTCCCTTAAGCTCTCTGTGCCCTTATACCACTCTTGTGCACATCTTGTGTATCCCTTGCTCAATCAGAATCTGCACCTTGACTCCTTTTTTGAAAGCACCTAGCTCCTCTATGTAAACTTTCTTTCAGGTTTACAAAATCCTATTCACCATATTTTTAAAGCCATTTTCTTCCTTCATTGCCTTTCATAGGTAATTTTCTATGATGTATGATGGGAAGAGAAATTGTGACTTCTGGCAATATATAGCTTCTTTAAATCTGACACTTCATAAATCAACTCTGATAAGCCTTTCCTTTTCTGAAAAATGAGATTGAGATATATATATAATTTTTCTTTTTTTCTCCATTAGCTAACTATTTTTGATGATTAAAACGAATAATACCTCTAGAGATATTTTTCCTATTCTTTTTGTCCATCAACTCTTTGAGGAAATAAAAAGTAAATGAGGTCACCTTGGGCCCAAGTTTACTGAACACATACCTATGGAGTGATTGTCATGTTCACACCCTGTATAAAGCTTTGTGGTTGAGGGCTTGGTGTTGAATTTCCTGCTTTTCTGGAAAGCTTGTGGCAGATGAGATACAAGGTATAAGTCAGGACCATTCAAGGATCTGTTGACTTGGAAACCGGCAAAGACAACCTAGCTGGCTTGTATAACATAGCCTCAAACTAAAATATTAGTAAGTGTAACAACATATCCCAAACAAGTTCTACTATGCTCATTACCTCATTTTGCCAGCTGTTTTCCCCTATCCTTTTTGGCACGAGGATCTTTAATGACATATTTTGCTCCACACCTTAAAGGATAATTGCTGGCAGTCGGTCTCTCATTATAGAACTCTCTTGTCTCTCGAAATAGATGATCCTTGTTCAGCTTTTTAACTGCAAATGTGAACGGGAGATATTTGAATTTTGGCATAAATGCCCCATAATCTTCTCTTCTGCTTTACTCTCAGAAGGTGAGCCCACATGTACACAAGAGGAGAAAACTAAAATCCTGCCAACAGTACTAGTGAACAGCGTTTAGTAGTAGCACACATCGTATCTTACCCCCTCTTTGGTTTGGGGGATCTAAAGTTTCATTTTTACCTCATTTTAGGGAGCTGGTTTGGATGGAAGTCACATACAAAATGAACCGTCTCCAACATCTACATCAGGAAGTAACTCTAGCTCAAGATAAAGGTCACTGGTGGGGCAACAGGCTTTCATTGCTTATTTTGGCCTCTCTTTCCTGTCCTAGAGACCATTTGGAAGAGCTACCAGTGACTTATCGTTTATAAGCATTAAAGGTTGAAATAAAAGCTATTCCATGTTGATTAGCACTTCCCCGGATGAAGTATACAAGTGTCATGTAAAACAAAGTGGACTGTGCTCATGATAGATTAGAATGGACATTCCACTGGGGTATCCTTGAGCCAAGACAACAATGCTTTGGCCCCTCGTTGCTCATGGAAACTTGTAATTGGTTGTTTCATACCAGTTGCCAATTATTGCTCTAAAGAACAGTCCCTTGAAGGAGAACTTAGAAGAGTTCATGTGTTTCTAAGGCTGAAATTTATTTGAACTGTATCATGTCTAGCATTTTACCCATTGAATTTATTTTGAAGCCTCATGGGCTGTTTAATGGGAGATTATATTTGAAGAGGTAAGAGTATAACATGTGGAAATCTGAACAATTCACCATCTTCAAAAATAATCATTTAACTACACCATTTGAAAGGCATTAGAATGCAATATTTACAAAAGGCGCATTTTTCAGATTTAGAATGATTAAATATCTTAAGTGAATTATAAAAAATATCTGTTGATAGTTATATTGATTTTAAGATTATTTGGTGAAAAGCTTTAAAGTAGTTTATGTAGGTATCAAAACCCTTATTGAAAATTATCTTTAGTTCTCATATGGTAATATTTTCAATTCTCCATATTTGGAAAGGAGCAAAAAGAGATAATGGGTTACATTGGACAAAGACGTTGAAAATAAATACTAATTTTAAATCTATTCTAATTTGTGAAAGGTTTGTTCCACCGGCCATGTCTTCCTGAAATTTCAAAGAAATTCAAAATATTTGTAAAAATTAAAAATACCAATAGAAACAAAATTGAATAATTAAAGAGATCAATCTAATTTCATCTAGTGCCTCACTGAACCAGGGATTTTTAAAAATGACGTCATGAAATTCTATACAGTATTTTTCAAAAATCAGATAAGTAGCTATGTTCTGTATTTGTCATCAAATTTGTATATAAATATAATATGATGATAGAAATTGCTGGAATAAGGTTTGTATAGATTTCAGTACTCTGAGTGTGTTTGTGAACATAGACTATGAGAAAATGTCTTTCATTCGTCTGTATCTATGTTCATTCACTGATTGAATAAATTTTATTAATATGAAAGACACTGGAGGAATACATTGATGTTTAAGCCAATGGCTTGCATAAAGGATACTCTAGAAGAACTCACAATTGTTTAAACTGTGGTCCTTCATTTTCAAGTTACTTTAAAAACTAATTTAATGTATTTTTTTCTTAGAAATTATGTTTATAATAGAGAGTTTAAATAATACGTGTAAAGAAGAAAACATCACCAACATCTCTCACTGGTCACAACATCATGTATATAGATTTTCAGTCTTTTTAGATGCAGGCGTCTGTCTCCAGACGTTCTTTGTTGTAACATAAAGGTTACTTCTCAGAGAGCTCTTAGTGTTCTGATTAGGTCTGACCTGTTACCATAGTCACCTGATGATGCATCACATTCCTTAATTTTATTTATTTGTGTACTTTTTAACATTTGGTCTCTCACACTATAAATAAAAACGGCATGAGTTGGGACTACGTCTTCTCTATTTTTATCTTATTCCTAATATCTTACATAGTCGTTCACACAAGTACATATTCAGTAATAGCTTCCATATGGACTTTAATTGTAATAAAAAAGAAAACAAACTACCACCATACACCCACCCACACACACACACACCCCTCCTCAGGTTGATATTTGATGGATACTTCTTTACAATTCTAGAGTCACGGGGAGGAAATGCACATCTTCATACTATTGAATCTTTGCATGTATATAAATATGACCTGTCTTTTTATTCACTTAATGCATTTTTTTGTCCCTCTGTAAAGTTAATTTTCTTTACTTGAGTCCCACACACTTCCACTTAAGTATTTTGTGTCTCTTGTTGCTACTTTCTTTGGGACTATTTCTTATTATTCTTTTAAACAATTTTTATATAAATTAGCATTAAATTATTCATTTCTATTTAATTTTTTTGTTGGCCACTAATCTCTTTAGTCCAGTCTGGAAGTTTTTAAATTAGTTGATTTTTTAAAGAAAATTTGATTGTTGTATTGAAATGTCTCTTCATTCCTGGAATACATTATCCTCTCTTGTTATTATGTTAAAAAATATTTTACTACATTCTACTGACATTTTATTTATGGTTTTTGCATCTGTCTTGAGACAAACCGTCACAGAGTTATCTCTATGAGGGTTGTTATAAACATCAAGCTGGACCGGAGTGAGTTGAGATAGCAGATAGCTTGTGATCTGAGAATTCTGGAGGTGAGAAGGGACCTCCGTGGCTGGTTTTCAGCATAGAAAACTCACACTTCTGCTGAATATTAAGGAATGAAAAAGAATTTGGAAATTAGACTATTTGAAGCCGAGGATGCCATGATTCTCACTTTCAAGATGTTAGCTGTACTCTGCTAACCCTCTCTGATCCTCTCAAATATTCAGTTAAACTCTATCGCATACAATGGGTTTGGATATTACTTGATGAAGTAAAGAGAAAAAATTATATTCCTTCTTTGGGTCAACACAGCGGGAAAGATAATATGGAAGGCAAGAGGCAAGTGTGATGCAGAATTCACCAGGAATAGGGAATTGGAACAAGAGGAGAGTGACTGTAAGATCATGAAACCATCCTCCACTCCATCCCTCCGTAGTACAGAGGACGAGAGCTAGAGAATCACGCATCTCAAGACAGATGTTGTTTCCCTCATTGTTGTTTAGTTCTCTCTCTGCTCAAGCATTGTTTCTTTAAATTTCAGCTCCCAGATACTTGACAACCTCTTTAAAAAATTCTCCCTTGCTGTCTTTGATCTTAATTGATTAAAAAACAACTTTCATATTTAAGTTAGCCTAAATCAATCACATTTAATTTAGCCTAAATCAAATTTATGGAAACTTCTTTACCAATAAAGTAATAGACTCATATTAATAAAAGAAAGCACACAACAAGGATCTAAGAACGTTGAAGAATTTTGTCTGAAAGGGGTAAGTATAATCAAAACAGATTCTCGTCTTTGCTCTGCCATCTGTTAGCTTTGAGACTTTGGGCAAATTACTCACCCTCTCTGTGCCTCAGTTGGCTTATTCGTAAATAAGCAATGCCCAGGGACATTTGTGCTGTGAGGTTAAATGAGATAAAGTTTACAAAGCATGTAGCAGAGTGCATGGCACATAGTAACTACTCAGGAAAAGTTAGTTCATGTTTCTCCATCTGGACTAAATATAGTTGCTGTTTTTTTAAAAAGAGTTATCCACAGGAAGTAAAATGGAGCTAGTAGAGAAAAAAATAAACTGTGAAATTTAAAGTTATAAAGCCAAGTACTTAATTAAGAGTAAACTGTGGGCAGAGAATACAATTATATACAGAACATAAACTCTAAGATATGGGTTCAAATTATTTACGGATAATTACATTTAAATAATCAACGTCAAATTTTCCACTCAAATATATCATGTATATATTATTGTACTCTGAAATATAAATTGGGCATTTCTGAGAAGTTTGGTTGCTCTTAACTTTTTAAAGTGAAAGGAAGCGAGGCACATTAATGACACAGAGTTAACAGGGCAAATTGTCAGTTCCCATACCTACCCCCAGCTGTGGCAGTTAATGCCAGAACCACACATTCTAAATTTCTTTTCTTCACATTGCTATTTCTGAGGTTGTAAATGGGCTTCTTTCCCCATAAGTCTTCAATATCTGCAAAGCATATTAAAATCTTTATTTTCAATTTTTAACTTAAAAGCTTTTCATAAATATAGCTCACTATCAAGTTGCATTACTTAATTTATATTTTGTTGTCTTATTGACACAAATTTTTGGGCTTTGCTGACTAACTCCTGAATGTGTTGCCATCAACCGATGCTAATATTTTTCCTATAATTATCTCTAAAGTTATAATTTCAGCCAATAATATGGTCATATTCATTCTTAATAAATTAACGACACTGGGGAGTCAATATTGACATTACAGCCAGATATCAATATGTTTTATTTTGACAAATGACATTCGGGGTCTTAGAAAAGAGAAATTTCCTAGCTTTCATCTGGACAAATAGATTTAAAAACTTAAAATTACTAAAATGCTCCTTTACTAAAGGTGAAAACAATCAGAAATTTGCAGAGGTAAAATCAATAGCTATTCACCCACATGCTTATAATAATCTAGATCAATGTATTTCTATATTTAATTTGTAATTCTCTCCCCAGGGCTTTATGTTTTCAGTTTTTCATTTGCTTGAAATCCTTTGACACCCAAGAAGTTTCACATATAGGAAAATGAACTAAGACTTTTTAAAGGATACACACAGAGACTTCCAAACTGTGGGTTTACTGAGATGAAAGACTGCTTAATTCTCTTTTAAGAGAAATTTCTCCATTCATTCCTGTTCCCTAATTGCACATATTTGAAAAATCAGGCCCAAGAAAAACTGTGTGTCCATTACCTCTCCATCTTTAACAATGATTCTTATAAACGAAATTTTTTCCCCCAAACAGATGGTTGTCCATTCTTTCCTCTATTTTGTGTTATCTAATATTTTTAAGGCCTAGAACTTATGACCTCACTTTGGTCACTTTTCATTTTCAAAGGTTTGGGATTGAGGCTCCACAGAAAACTGAACACAAAGGCTCTTCTATTATTTCCTGATCAAAGTATCATCTCAAAGTTAACTACCCTTGAATTTCAAACACAAATATAGAAAAAAGGAATAGATCTGATACCATCATTACTGCCTAAAAGAAAAGAGAAAACAGCCTTTACAACAGACGCAAACTAGACAATTAAAAATTAAGTTCTCTATTTCCCCACACTGCCTACTACTTGCTCCCTTTTGGAAATGTACCTTAGCCTCTTTATTTTGCCCTATGAGGTTTTTCTGTCTTAAGAGTTCTTTTTTCCTCATTAATTGCCCTTCCTTCTCATCACATGGATTAGAGTCCCCAGCTGCCCCCCCTTTTCTCCCTGGTCTCTTTCTGTACCACAGAGTAATGAACTTGGGTAATTCATAAATAGTGACATAGAAAAAAAAAAGACAGAAAATGTACATCTTTTATATCTCATATAGCTCCACATTTTATGCAGATGACATATTTCCAAATAAGAGTCACATGATTTTCACCCAATTCCGCTGCTTTGGGATAAATTCATCAGACTATTTTAACAAACAATATTTCAATTTAAAATGCACCTGCACAAATGTGGGCAAATATGCCCACATTCCACAGTTGATCAGTGTTCTGATTTATTTCAGTGCTAAAATTTTAACTCACATGAAATAGTCCTGAGTAAGTTGTTCTAAAATGTTGATTTTGATTTGCTGTTTCTGCCCAATTTAACAGAAAAAGAGAGGATGGAATAGTAAATCCTACTGAATCTTCAGCAATGGAGAGGACAGTAGGATCTCAGTTTCATTTAGGCTGTCGTGTTGATGGATTAGGTTATGTTATACATGGGTTATGTGCCAAATGATGTCTTTTGATTCTGATTCCAAGGAAAACAGCAGGAATCTTGAGTGCTGAAAGTCCTCAAGGAGCTGTTATTTCTGGCCCTTTGATGGAAATAAAGGGAGACTCATAGCTAAAGAACATCAAAGTGTCTCTATCAACTTCACATGTAGTTTACTCCTCTGATGAGACCTAATGTGAAGAGTTAGAGCTGGTTGTGATTCAATGGAGTTTGACAAAGTTTCTCTGTGTCCCATTAGCTAAGAGGCTTCTTTTTCTGCATCTGAGTTGCTGGGATGTCTGCAGTCAGGTCTGAGGGCAGCCTGAGAGGGTCTCAGGCACCTCCCTGTAGCATGGGAAAAGCAGGCAAACATTCCTGAACACCCCAATGAGTACACGGAAGTGGCTGAGCAGACAGTTGAAGGGCTGGCATAGAAGCTGAGGAGCATGTTGGAACATGGACCTAACAACCGGAGGCCACGCAGGGATATCAACATCAGCAGAAGAGGCAGCAAAGCAGGTGTCAGTGCTCAAGGCCAGAGGGACAGGTCTGCAGGGGCCAGTGAGGGCCCAGAGAGCACCAGAGAGTCTCCTCTCCTTCGATAACAGGACCATGGATGAGCTACCTCTGGAACCCAGATCACGCCCAGGGAGAAGAGTTAGAGATGTGAGGAGGAAAGCTTCCTGAATTGACAGAGGGGATACCACAGAGTGATCAACTCGAGTTGATAGAATTACCTTGAATATATGAGTAAGGTATTTCACTACCAAGAGGATTGGAATCTCATGACCTAACTTTAATTACAGACAAATAAGGTTTTGTCTTTGTACAGTTGGGCATGTGACCATGTAAAATACCAATATCATGCTTCACAATGTGCTCTGCATGCAGAAGGCAGATCTCCTGTTTCATAGTAGAGGATGGAATTATTCCCTTTCATTAATCTAGGTATATACCAGTCTGTAAGTTTATAATGAGAAATGGCTTTTGTTCTTCAGGATTTTTTTTTTTTCAAAAATATAGGATTTATAACATAGACACTTTTTAATTTGTGTTTCCATTCCATCCTCATTCAGCTAGATTTGAATGAAACCAAAACAAAGTGAGGTATCAAATAAATATATTAACGCCACATTTTTGAATATATTCTTTCATGGCATAATTCTAACTTTCGCTGGTGACATTGATATAGAGGTCAGATTTACTGAGAGGTATCATTCAGTCTTTGAAGTATCACCCAAATGTGTAAGTAAGGTCTTTGTCCACTAATGAGCATTCTTTCTTGTTACTGATTTTGTAAAGCCTTACACTGTGAATGGACCGTCAATCAACTCACAGCTGCACTGAGGCGTCAGATGGCCGTATCCATGGCGACATGCCAACAATGGCGACACGAATTAATCCATTTGTGTGGAATTCTCAGTGAGAGTCCACTTTCATCTTTCAGAGACCACTGTTAGGAAGTCTGATGGTAATGTAAAATGCTGAGCAAAAGCAAAATAGTGATGGACTCTCCACAGGACCTTCTTCCTGTAAACAGTGGGGCTTCTTTTCCTTTTTATCTACTAGAGATGACAGAGAACAGTTGGGGATTTATATTGCCACCATAATGTTCTTTTAATAAAAGTTACATTAATTTAATGCTCACATGTAAGCTCCTTTTTCACCTTCTGTCACCAATGCTATCTAATCAGCCCTGAAAATAAGTACAATGATTTACACAGTGGTACAAAATTAAAAAGCAATCTTTTATCTTGCTGTTTTATTGCTAATAGTATTCATATAATATATAAAATGAGAGATACCTCCAACATCAGATTTGGAATTGTTAGCTTACTCTGTTCTACGAATAGATCAAGCTAAGTCTTTGTTTTTTAGAAAAGCTAAAAAAAAATCACTGAGTGTCTTCTTTCCTTGTCGGAACCTTGTATTAGTCCTGTATCTAGACAAGTCTTATCTTCTATTACCATATCTTAAAAAGACATGTTATTTTGTCTGGTGTTAGGATGAATTTATGTAAAGCCAAATTACACATTATATTGTCAAAATTATTTGATAAACTATTGAAGCAAGATAACTTTTCACAAACTGAACATACATGGCAGGTACTACCTTTTAATTTGGAATTTACATTCGTTACCCAAAGATATTCAAATGAAAGCAAAAAGTGATGTTTTATGTTTTCTTGTTACTCTTAGCTTGGGGAAATGAGTTGTATTTTCACATACATAGATGAAAAGAATTATTTTCTATCATGTAGTTCATAGCTTTTACAAGTCTTCCAACTCTTTGAGAATCTAACAAAACCTTTAGATCTCTATGAAAAGTACAGATTTGTATGCTGTATAAATTTGCTTACATTTTTAGGTGACTCATGCAACATAGGTTAAGAAGTTGTTGGTCAAATTAGTATTTAAAGTTTCCTCTTAAACATTCAATCAAGAATTCCAGTTTTAGTCCCAACATAGGAGAGCTTAGAAGTCGTCGCTTCCATACTGACAGTAAGAAAATGTTGAACAAATTGAAAATCAATGACTTTTCCTGAACTAATTAAAGAACTGAAGTTTCAAGGCCAACTGCCACCCTGAAAACCAGAGAGATAGATAAGTCTAGAGGGTCACAGCTGAGATCCACTTCCTTCAAGTAGAATGGCTAGAGCCGTAAACTGGTAGGAAGACTTGAGTGGTGCTTCTGAAGAGTCACTGGAGGCTCAGAGTAGACTAGCTTGAGGCCTAAAAACTCCTGGGGACTGCAATCTTTAGAGGTTTCCAAACTTTTCTGTGCTTATTTCAGAAACTTATCAGCTTCTTATGGTGAAGATCCAAAAAAGTTGCTCTCATGGAGAAAGGGAAAAATAATCCCTAGAAAATACCCCTAGAGTGTTCTCTGTAACAAAGCCTACTACACCAGGGAAAAGACTTTACCAGAGCCATATCCCAGCCAGAAAAGACATTCCCCCTTCTCTAGCTCTGTAGCCTTCTTGTCTTATGGAAGGTGGAGAAAAAAGATATACCACTGGGAAAACATCTGTGAAGGTTACAGCTCAGAGAGATACACAGACTAAAAGACTGAGGTTTCATACTAAGATTATAGAATGTACCCCCCCACACACATAGCTGGCAACCACATTAGTCAGGGTCCCTTGTAATAGTGAATTATAGCTAAAAGAATTGGAAGACATGGACTCTTTCTGAGGAGGACTACTTAGTGGAGCTCAACAGCAAGAGAGGAAACAACACAAGGACAATAGCTGTTGCCTTTGGCACCTACCCCTACAGTGATCATCAAATAAAGCCCAACTCCTAGCCAGATTAATGTACATCCTCACACTAGAGGTCTACTTACCTCAGTTTCTATTATCCAGTGTATCATATCTGGCTTTCAACAAAAAATTATAAGGCATGATAAAAGACAAGGGAAAAACCACAGTCTGATGAAACAAAATAATCATTGGATCCAGATTCAGTGAGAACACAGGCATTGGAATTATTAGGCAAGAAATTTTCCATAACTACAACTAATAAGTTAAAGACTCTAATGGAAAAAAATATACAGCATTCAAGAATAGCTAAGTAATGTAAGAAGTGGTGGAAACTGTAAGAAAGGATCAAAAGGAAATTCTAGAAATAAAAACACTATAACAGAATTGAGGAAAACCTTTCATAGGTTCATCAGTCGACTGGGCACAGCTCAGGAAAGAATCAGTGAAGTCAATAGAAACATTCCAAATTGAAGTGCAAAGAGAAAAATAATGAAAAAGAAGTGGAACAGCACTTCAGGACAATTACAAAAGGTATAATACAGGTGTAATTGAAATACTGGAAGGAGAAGAAAGAAAGGATCAGAAGAAATATCTGAAGTAATAATGGCCAAGAACTTTCCCAAATTAATGGCAGACATTAAACCACAGATCCAGTAAGCTCAGAGAACACAAATCAGGGTAAATAAAATTTTTAAAAAGGGAGCTAGCCCAGTCACATAGTGGTTACGTTTGCATGCTCTGCTTCAGCATCAAGAGTTGACAAGTTCAGATTCCAGGCGCAGACCTAGCACTGCTTGTCAAGCCATGCTGTGGTGGCATCCCACATTAAATAGAGGAAGATTGGTGCAGATGTCAGCTCAGCAACAATTTTCCTCAAGCAAAAAGAGGAAGACTGACAATAGGTGTTAGCTCAGGGCCTATCTTCCTCACACACACACACCCACACACAAAAGACACTCAGGCATATCATATTCAAAGTGCAAAAACCAAAAACAAAGAAAATTTTGAGAGAAGCCAGAATGGGGAAAAACACTTTATCTGTATAGGAACAAAAATAAGATTTACAGCAGAATTCTGGTCAGAAACCATGCAAGCAAGAGGAGAGTGAAGTGAAATATTTAAAATGTTGAAAGAAAAAACTCATTAACCTGGAATTCAATATCCAGTGAAACTATCCTTCAAAAGTGAAGGAGTATAAAGACTTTCTCACACAAACAAAAACTGAAAGATTTCATCACCAGCTGATTCCTGAAAAGAAATGTTAAAAGAAATTCTTCGGGGAGAAGGAAAATGACGTAAGACAGAAAATCAGCTCTACATCAAGAAAGGAAGAGCACTAGCGAAAGAATAAGGAAGAAAAAATAAAATGTTTTATTTTTCTTATTCTTAATTGATCTAAAAGGAAAATGCTTATGTAAAATAATCATGGTAACAATGTATTGGATGACTGTGAATTATGGATAAATTAAATAAGTGACAGCAATGTCATATGGGACAGAGGGAGGAATTAGAAATACTCTGTTCCAAGTTACTGGCACTACAATTGAATCAGTCTAGTGTTATTTGAAGGTTGACTTAGATTGATTAAAAATGTATTTTGGAAACTATAGGGCAACCACTGAACATATTGAACAAAAAAGTATAATAATATAATAATAAATATACTAAGAGATTAAATAAAATGGAACCATATAAAATGTTCAATTAAAACACAAAAGGCAGAAAAAGAAGGGAAACAAGAAACAAAGAAAAAATTCAAGGAATAGGAAATAGTAACAAACATGGTAGATATTGAGCCAAATATTTTAATAATCATTTTCAATGTGAATGGTCTAAATATACCAATTAAAAGGCAGAGATTGTCAGAGTGGATTGAGTAAAACCAAAACAAGACCCAATTATATGTTTTCTATAGAAAACCCACTTTAAGTATAAAGACCCAGATAGGGTAAAAGGAGAAGCAAAAACGTATACCGTGCCAATGCTAATCAAAAGAAAGATGAAATATTGTCTTTTTTATGGCTGAGTAGTAGTCCATTGTATACATATACCACATCTTGTGTATCTATTCATCTGTAGAAGGGCATATGTGTTGCTTCCACATCTTGACTATGATGTTAAGTGAAATAAGCCAGACAAAGACAAATACTGCACGATTTCACTCATATGTGGATGATAACATATACATGGATAAAAAGAACAGATTAGTGGTTACCAGAGGGGAAGGGGTTAGGGGGTGGGCAAATTGGACAAAGGGGTACATATGTATGGTGATGCATAAAAATTAGACTACTGGCGGTGAGCACAATGAAGTGTATTCAGGAACCGATAAACAATAATGTACACCCGAAATCACACAATGTTATAAATCATTATAATTCCAATAAAATTATTTAAAAAAAGAAAGATGAAATAGCTGTATTGACTTCAGACTTCAGAACAAGAAAAATTATCCAAGAATAAAGAAGAATATTACACAATGATAGAGGGGTTCATTTCCCAAGAAGACACAACAATCCTTAAAATGTATGCACCTAACAATAGAGTGTCAAAACACGTTAGGAAAACTGATATAACTGAAAGAAGAATGGGTAAATTCACTATTGTAGCTCGAGGCTTCAACACTCCTCTTTCAATAATTGACAGATCAAGCAGGCAAAATATCAGTAAGGATATATCAACTTGAACAGCTATGGGGCTAGCATTTCTCAAATACTAAAATGAGATAAAGACATTACAAGAAAGGAAAACTAAAGACAAATATCTCTTATGAACATAGATGTAAAAGAGACAAAATAAATATTAAACGAAACCAACAATGCATAAAAATAACTATATACCACAAATAAGTGGGATTTATTACAGGTATGCTAGGCCAGTTCAAAATGCAAAATCAATCATGTAATCTGCCACATCAATAGAGTAAAGAAGAAAAAACATATGGTCATATCAATTGAAGCAGAAAAAGCATTTGAAAAACATCCAACACCCATTCATTATAAAATTTTTCAGGAAACCAGGAATAGAGAGGAACTTCATCAACTTGATAAAGAACATCTACAAAAAAAATTTACAGCTACTTAATAGTGAGAAACTGGATGCTTTCTCATAACACTAGGAATAAAGCAACGATGTCCTTTCCACTGCTCTATTCAACATCACGCTGAAAATCCCAGCTACTGCGATAATACAAGAAAAGGAAATAAAAGCATATACAGATTGGAAAGGAAGAAATAAACACTTTTCATTTGCAGATGGCACAATTGTCTACGTAGAAAATCCCAAAGAATTGATAAATGAAAAAATCTCCTCAAGCTAACAAATACGTACAGTAAGGTCGCAGGATGCAAGGTTAATATATAGAAGTCAATTGCTTTCCAATATGAAATACTTAGACATAAATCTAGCAAAATATGTGTAACATCTATATGTGGAAAACTACAAAACTCTGATGAAAGAAATCAAATGACATCTAAATAAATGGAAAGATATCCCAAGTTTAGGGATTGGGAGAATCAAATTGTTAAGATGTCAATACTGCTGAAATTGATGAAGACATTCAATGCAATCCTAATCACAATGCCAGCAAGCTATGCTGCAGGTATTGTCAAGCTTATTCTGAAGTTCGTAGAGAAAGTCAGAAGACCTAGAGTAACCAACGCAATACTGAGGAAAAGAGAACAAAGTGGGAGGAAAATACCCAATTTCAACACTTATTTAAAGCAATGGTAATCAAGACAGTGTAGAATTGGTAGGAGAATAGATAACTGACCAATGAAACACAATCCAGTGATCTTTCACAAAGGGGTGGAGACAGTTCAATGGAAGAAAGGCAGAACTTACAATGAAAAATTTCACGTCAACAAAAAAATGAACGTAGACGCAGATCAGACAACATTTCACAAAAATTAACTGAAAATATATCACAGGCCTGAATTTACAATGCAAGACTAGAAAACTTATATAGGAAGATGTAGGAGAAATTCTACATGAGCTTGCATCTGGTGATGGTTTTTAGAGACCCAAGACATGAACCATGAAAAAAAATTTTATATGTTGGATTTCATTAAAATGAAGAAAACCTTTTTCTCTGTGAAAGAAACTGTTAAGAGAATGAGAAGACAAGCCAGAGACTGGGAGAAAATATTTGCAAAACACATATCTGATAAAGGGCTTATATCCAAAATATACAAAGAACTCTAAAACTGAATAATAAGAAAACAAACAACCCAATCAAAAAATGGGCAAACGATCTGAAAAGACATCTCACCAAAGAAAATAGATAGAAATTAAGTGCATGAAAAGATGCTAAAAGTCATTTCTCCTTAGAGAACTGCAAATTAGAATAGCAATGAGATGCCACTACACACCTATTTAGCATGGCTAAAATCCAAAAGTCCCGACAATATCAATTACTGACGAGACTGTGGAGCAAGAGCAGCAATTATTCATTGCCAGTAAGAATGCAAAGTGGTACAGACACTCCAGAAGACAGCAGTTTTGTAAAAAGTTAAACATGGGGGGTGGCCCCCTGGCCAAGTGGTTAAGTTCTCGTGCTCCGCTGCAGGCGGCCCAGTGTTTTGCTGGTTCGAATCCTGGGCTCGGACATGGCACTGCTCATCAAACCACGCTGAGGCAGCATCCCACATGCCACAACTAGAAGGACCCACAACGAAGAATACACAGCTATGTACCGGGGGGCTTTGGAGAGAAAAAGGAAAAAAATGAAATCTTTAAAATAAAAAAAGGTAAACATGATCTTACCATAAGATCCAGCAATCATGCTCCTAGGTATTCGTCCAACTGATTTAAAAACTTATATCCTCGCAAAAATCTGCATGCAAATGTTTATAGCAGCTTAATTCATAATTGACAAAGTCTGGAAACCAAGATACCCTTTAAAAGGTGAATGGATGAACAAATTGTGATACGCCCATACAATGGAATATTATTCAGCAATAGAAAGAAACGAGCTGTTAAACAATGGGAAGGAATGAATAAACTTTAAACACATACCGCTAAGTGAACGAAGTCAGTCTGAAAAGGCTACATACTGTATAATTCTAATTATATGATGCTCTGTAAAAGGAAAAACTACAGAGATAATAAAAAGATTAGTGGTTGC